CCCCCCCCCCCCCGCATCATTTTTACAAAACGCTGGGGGCAGGGGAGGGATTATTAATGAATCCATTTACGGTTGGCTAGCGGTAGTAAAAGGAATAACACATTGGTTGTGAAATCTCAGCTTCTCACACTCCAGTCTGTCTCAGCTTTTTTGGGGGGGGGCAGGGGCTGCATCACCTCTGTGGTAGAGGAAGGTGTCTGGGACACGAATTAGGGAAGATGCTATGTGGCCATCTGTTCTTTTCCAGTTTTTTTCCCGACCCTATTCGCATACACCTTCTGCCTCTTGGGAATCTCTCTCAGTCACTGCTGTTGTTTTTGGCTCCTCCCCACCCCCACCCCCACAATACTTTGATGGAAGAATCAAAGTATTCTGGGCATCATTTCCAATAGGTAGCTGTGTTTTATTATATGCCAAGGGACATTTCCAGAGGTTCTTCTCCTGGAACATTACAGTAGGAAGGGGAGGAAAATAGCACTGAGGTGGTATAGGAAGTTAAGCAGACGTCCTCCTGATGGGTTGGACTACAACTCTCATCATGCCCACACAATATGGCTGGGTGTATGAGACTTGTAGTTCAAGCCACCAAGAGCTGAACTGGCTTCAGATGATCTGGTGTAGTCTTCCAAGAAACAGGTAGAAGATGTGCACTCAACCTGTAATTTTTTCAAAACAGGATCTGAGGTTTGTTAATTGAAACCTCCCATCAGCATCATTCTGGAACATGTGGTGTAGTGGTTAGAGCTTGGGTTTTTGCTTTGTTTGCAAAATACGGAGACCCACCTTGAAATCCACAAAGAAAGTTTTACTGGTGACCTTGGATCAATTGCCATCCTTGGCAGGATTTTGAGGAAGGGACGCACACCATCTTGGGCTCTTTGAAAGGCTGGATTCATAAAGAGATAAGCTAGAACAGGGACTGGGCAGGCTTCAACCTTTGGGGAATCTGCTTAGTTTTTGCACCAGATATCCAGCAAGTGGAGCCTGGTGCAAAAGACATGTATTACAACATTCTAAGGTAGGACTTGGTTTTGAGTACCAGTACTAAACAGAGCACACAGCGCTTCTGCAAAAGTCTTTGTGGCCCTAAGCTTACTTCATGTCAGCAATATAATTTAGGAAAGCTGGGGCTTGGTGGTTGGTTATTTATTTATGTTTTTATTTATTTGCTGCTATTGCAGAACAGTTGCAGGGAGAAATCCTTGATCTATGGCAAAAAAATGTCAACAAGATATCTAGCAGTTGTTCTGCCTCTTTTCCCTGGCCACCTGTAGATTAGAACCCAGGGAGATAAGGGCTCATGCCGCAGAGCACATGGCAGGGGGTGAACAATATGCCACATACCAGAGGTGAATTTCGCTGGTCTTTTGGGACACCGTTCCGTTTTAACTCAATTTTCAAGCTCCAAATGGCATCATGCTCAGAGTTGCTGTCAGAGAAAGAAACAGTGCCATCTCAAAAGAGCTTGGAAACAGTCTTTTTTTAAATTTTTACCACACACACACACAAAAAAAATTCCAAAGCTGCATCAGAATGGAGGAGGGAAAAGAAAGTTTAAATTATAATAAATAATAACCTTAGGTGGAATGGACTCTATTTCCTAAAAAAAAAAAAAAAAAACATTTCCAAAGCTGCATCAGAATGGAGGAGGCAAAAGAAAGTTTAAATAATAATAAATAATGACCTTAGGTGGAATGGACTCTGTGTATCATCAAATCCAGTCCCTGTCAAGGAGGCACAACCAGGAATTGAACTTCTCATCTCTGGATTGATAATCAGATAACTACTGTAAATCACTCAGCTTTCCAGCAGTTCCTTGAAGGAATATGAGAACCAGCTTTATGTGTGTCAGACCACTAGTCTCTTTAATTTCTGAGAAAATATAGGTGCTTTCTGCAGTAGGGGAAGAGTTCAGACAAGATTCTTTCCCAGCCCAACCTGATCCCTGATATTTCCTGGGGGTCTTCTTTCCAAGCACCAACCAAGGCCAAAACTGCTTAGCCTCTGAAGTCATCTGAGATCCATCTGTTCAGGGCAGCCTGGACATAAACTTCTGAGGTTCAAGGTTATCTTCTCAGATCCTGGGATTCAGAAACCGTTTCCTTATCACAAACTGTGCAAAATGTATGGGGCTTATGCTTTGCTGGTGGCAGTATGATGGTGTGCGTTTCATATTGTTGTTTTGATGGGGGAAACTTACAAAGAAAATCTTCGTATTGGCATAGCTAGCTTGGAGAGTTTCATTGGTCCTGGATTCCCAAATAACCCATGTGAGAGATGGTTGGGTAGAAAAAATAAGAAAACAAAGATAGCAAAGGTCACATCACAGGTTGTCTACCACATACAAAATAAGGGCCAATCCAAGGCATTTTGCTGCCTGAGGCAGAACAGCAAATGGTACCCAAATGGCAGAAGTCAGGTATGTGTAGTCAGTGATGTAGTTTGGGCAGCTAAGGCAGAGAAATGGAAACCACTGATTCATAGGGTCTCCATAAGTCGGAAGCAGCGTGACAGGGCCTAACAACAGCAACAAGTCAGAGACCTTTACAAGCATCTGAACACACTCCATGTCAGTAAAATAAATACAGTAAGAACTAAGAAAATAACTAACAGAACTAGAGTGGTGTGGTGGATAGAGTGAATATTTAGAACTCACAAGGTCTAGCCATGGAAAATAAATGGTGGATGGTGGCAATGGTAAAATCACTCTTTTAGATATCTTACATGACTTGAAAACCTTACTAGGGTTGCTATGCATTGAAATGAGTTTGACAGAACATAAAAACAAGTAACACTTTACTGCTACTGTCCATTCATGACACTAAATCTGGTATCTGAAGTGGCTGCCTCACCCGGCCTCATGGTTGGGGTGACCTGCACAAGAGTCCTCACTAGTTTCAAATGTCAGCAACAAGGAAGAATACATACTTTTAAGGGCTGGGGTTACCCCTAAGAGTGTTGTGTCAAGCAAGATCACATAAACAGGGGTTAGTCTAATAACAGCTGGTTGGATGGCTCTGTGGTTTAAGTACAGTGGTGCCTCGCTTAACGAGGATAATCCATTCCAGCAAAATCGCTGTAGAGCAAAATCCTCGTTAAGCGAAATAAAAAATCCCATTGAAACGCATTGAAAACCCGTTCAATGCGTTCCAATGGGCTGAAAACTCACCATTCAGCGAAGATCCTCCATAGGGGTGGCCATTTTCAGTGCCTGTAAAGCGAGGAATCCGTCCAAAAACACAGCGGGGAACCATTTTCCACAGCGGGCAGCCATTTTGAAGCCGCCGATCAGCTGTTTTAAAAACATTGTCTAGCGAAAAATCAGTTCCTGAAGCAGGGAATGATCGTCGGGAAGCGAATTGTGCCTATTAAAACATCGTTTTGCGATTGCAAAAGCGATCGCAAAACAGTCATTTAACGAGCCAATAGTTAGGCGAGGCACCACTGTATCTGGCTGCAGAGCCAGAGGCTGGGAGTTCGATTCCCGACTGGGCCTCCTGTTAGTAGAGCCAGCTCTGTGGCCTTGGGTGGAGTCCCAGGATGCTCCCAGAAAAAGGGAATGGTAAGCCACTTTGAGTGTTCTCTACCAGGAAAATCCCGAAAATGGTAGCCAAAATTGATGATACATTATTTTTATTAGTCTAAGTAACAAATAATACTGTGAACAGTAATACTTTTTAAACCTTAATAAACAAAAGAAAGTGTTTCTTTTTCCTTTTTGCATGTGTTGCATAATATTTTGTTTTTAATGTTTTCTTTGTCATCAAATGGGGGATTATTTAGAATCATCATAGCAATAGTACTTAAGGACCAATGCAGGTTTAAAAGTCAAAACAAGTGCAACAGCTTTCATTAGACCACAGTACAGAAAGTGTATTAGTCCTTGATCTTGAAGAAAAGACTGTTTTGGACTACAGCTCCCAGAATCCTCCAGCTAGCATGCTGGGGTCATGGGAACTGTGGTTCAAAAAAGGAACTTTATCAGTCTC